GTTCCCTTCTCTCCAAATCCTTGTAGACACTTGTTATCTCTTGTCTTTTTGATAATAACTGTTCTAACAGTGTGAGCTGAGATCTCATTGTGTTTTAGATGTGCATTTTCCCCATGATAAGTGATGTTGAACACCTTTTTTTGTACCTCTTGGTCATTTGTGTGTCTTCTTTGGACAAATGTTCTGTTTAGGGCCTTTGCCTATTTTTAATTGGGTTATTTATTTTTTGCTATTGAGTTTTAGGAGTTCCTTGTGTCTTTTGGTTATTAACCCCTTATCGGATATGTAGTTTGCAAATATTTCCTTCTATTCTGTAAGTTTCCTTTTCATTTTGTTGATGGTTTCCTTTGCTGTGCAAAAGTTCTTTATTTTGATGTGGTCCCACTTGTTTATTTTTGCTTTTGTTGCCAAATCCAAAACTCATTGCCAAAACTGATGTCAAGCAGTAACCCCCGTGTTTTTTTCTGGGAGTTTTATATTTTCAGGTCTTAGGTTCAAGTTTTTAATCCATTTTGGGTTGATTTTTGGTTTTGGTATAAATAGGGGTCCAGTTTCACTCTTTTGCATGTGGCTGTCTCATTTTCTCATCACTTATTAAGACATATCCTTTTCCTATTGTGTGTTCTTAGCTCCTTTGCTGGAAATTAATTGGCCATATATGTGTGAGTTTATTTCTGAGCTTTCAATTCCATCCCATTGATCTATGTGTTTGTTTTATGCCAATACTATACCATTTGATTACCATAACTTTACAGTGTAGTTTGAAATTATCAAGTGTGATACCTCCAGCTTTGTTCTTCTTTCTTAAGATTGCTTTGGCTATTCAGGGCCTTTTGTGGCTCCATTAAAAATCTTAGGATTATTTGTTCTAATTCTGTGAAAAATGCCATTGGAATTTTGATAGGGATCTCACTGAATCTGTAGATGACTTTGTGTAGTTTGAACATTTTAACAATATTAATTCTTCTAATCCATGAACACAGAATAGTTGTCCATTTATTTATATCATCTTTAATTTCTTTAATCAATTTCTTCTGGTTTTCAGTGTACAGACCTTTCTTTTTTGGTTAAATTTATTGCTTTTTTAAAAAAAATTTTTATTTGTTTATTTTGAGAGAGAGAGTATGAGTGGGGTTGGGGTGGTCAGAGGGAGAGGAAGAAGCAGCTGTCCACTGAACAGGGAGCCTGTTGCAGGGCTCGATCCCAGGACCCCAGGATCATGATCTGAGCCAAAGGCAGATGCTTAACCAACTGATCCACCCAGGCATCTTGGTTAAACTTATTTCTAAGTATTCAATCTTTTTGATACTGTTGTAAATGGTACTGTTTCCTTGATTTGTCTTTCTGATAGTTCATTGTTGGTGTATGAAAATGCAACTGATTTTTGTATATTGATTTTGTATTCTGCAGCTTTTCCGAAACTATTAGCTATAATGGGATTTTGTTGGAGTCTTTAAGGTTTTCTGTATAGTCCTGTCATTTGCAAATAGTGACAGCTGTATTTCTTCCTTTCCCCTTTGGATGCCCTTATTTCTTTTTCTTGCTTACTTGCTTTGGCTAGGACTTCTAATATCATGTTGAATAGAAATGGTGAGAGTGGGCATCCCTGTCTTGTGCCTGATCTTAGAGGAAGATCTCTCATTGTTTCAGTTCTGAGTATGATGTTAGCTGTGGCCTTACCATATATGGTATTATGTTGAGATATGTTCCTTCTCTACCCAGTTTCTTGAGAGTTGAAATATTCTGTATCTTAATTAATACATCCAGAAAAGATGGACCGTGTGAACTCAGATTCTGTTTCTGTAGCAGACATCAGAATATAAGTGGGCTCAGTTTTTATTTATTTATTTATTTATTTGAGAGAGAGAGAATGAGAGACAGAGAGCATGAGAGGGAGGAGGGTCAGAGGGAGAAGCAGACTCCCTGCCGAGCAGGGAGCCCGATACGGGACTCGATCCCGGGACTCCGGGATCATGACCTGAGCCGAAGGCAGTCGCTTAACCGACTGAGCCACCCAGGCGCCCGGCTCAGTTTTATATATTCCAAAGAGGCCATTAATTGGGATCTTTAGGATGTTATGGCTAATTAAGTCAAACTGAGGATTTGAAAGCATTTCTTACTGTTGTAAGATGTCTAACAGTAATGTGTTGTAATGTCTAACAATAGCCTGGACGTAGAAAGACAGAGTTTTGAACAGCAGGAAAAATTTATGTGATTCATACCAGTGTCCCTCCTTCTCCTTCTGGTATGTGACTGTTTTCATTTACAGAAGATAAATCCATGCCAAGAATTCAACTGGACATGACCTAAAATTACTTTAATCTTAGTGTACACCTTGGAGATGTGAAGCCCGCTTTCCTTGGCAGCCTTGCATAGCTAATCCACACAGATTTTTCACATTTATGAAGATGGGTCTTTCCCTAGAAGTAGCAATGGGGTTTATTAGAATATGGGGGCAGGTATAGCTTAAGAAACATATTGTAAACTTATTAGTTAATACAAAGTATCAAACTTAAAGTTGGCCAAATTATTTTTAGAACTATGCTGAAGATGGAGTAAAACATAACCACTGTAGGGGGCAAGAAAACTTGTTTCAGGAAATCAGAATCTATCACCAAGATAACCAAGATGAGCATTTGGACTATGTTTGAGGCTGAGTAGAGGATGTCATAAATAATACTTTGGAGGAAACCCCCAAATGTGAATATAAAATCGTGCTGTGCATGTGATAGTATTTGTCGGGTACTGGGTGCTTTGCATGTGGGCTAGAGGTTAGATATCACCATTTTACAGGGAAGAAAAGTGAGGCTAGTGTCAGCAAATAAGTCCATAGCCAGAGTTTGGATACATTTTCTTTTTTTTTAAGATTTTATTTATTTATTTGACAGAGATACAGAAAGAGAGGGAACACAAGTAGGGGGAGTGGGAGAGGGAGAAGCAGGCTTCACGCGGAGCAGGGAGCCTGACGTGGGGCTCGATCCTAGGACCCTGGGATCATGACCTGAGCCGAAGGCAGACGCCTAACGACTGAGCCACCCAGGCACCCCGAGTTTGGATACATTTAAAAAATTCTGATTAAAAAAAAAATCTCGGGGTGCCTGGGTGGCTCAGTTGGTTAAGCCACTGCCTTCAGTTCATGTCATGATTCCAGAGTCCTAGGATCGAGCCCCGCATCGGGCTCCTTGCTCTGCGGGGAGCCTGCTTCTCCCTCTCTCTCTGCCTGCCGCTCCCCCTGCTTGTGATCTCTCTTTCTCTCACTCTCTCTCTCTGTGTGTCAAATAAATAAATAAAATCTTTAAAAAAAAACAAAACTCAGGGTCTCTTTTACATACCTGAGTGCTTCTCTGTATCCTCAGAGAAAGGTAAATAAGCCCTTTTGGGTAGTTATATTTTCTTTTTTTTTAATAAAGATTTTTATTTATTTGAGAGAGAGTGACAGAGAGAGCATGAGTGGGAGAAACAGGCTCCCCCAACGAGCAGGGAGCCTGATGTGGTACTCGATTCCAGGATCCCAGGATCCTGACCTGAGCCAAAGGCAGACATTTAACCGACGGAGCCACCCAGGTGCCCTGGGTAGTTATATTTTCAAGTGGCCGGGGTTCTATCCACTCAGGAAGCTAAACATCATAGAAAGCTTTCTGAAATTAAATCACATATTTTCTTGCCTCCTTTGACATGTAATACTCTAACATGTAATACTGAACATTTTCAACGTTTTCCTGAGAACTCATCCTTAATGTGGGGGACACCATAAATGTGCTCCTGGGGTCTAAGTTGTGGGAGGCTCCTGGCCCCACACTGTGATGCTTTTCATTTGCTAGTCAGAGAATGATTTTTTTTTTTTTTAAGATTTTTATCTTTCCATGTCAGAGAGAGAGAGAGAGCACAAACAGGGATAGCGGCGGCAAAGGTAGAAAGAGAAGCAGGCTCTCTGATCAGCAAGGAGCCCGATGCAGGACTTGATCCCAGGAGCCTGGGATCATGACCTGAGGCAAAGGCAGATGCTCAACTGACTGAGCCACCCAGGTGTCCCCAGAGAATGATTTTTATTCCTCCCTGGGTGGCTGTTCTTATGGTTCAAATGGGAATTTCCCAGGGCCTTAGAAAGGAAATAATTAAACTAGTTAGCATTGTATGTAAAGTAAAAGTAAATAGGCCTGAAAAGCTAGACTACAAGGGAAGCGTTAAGAGCACAGATCTAACTTACATTCTCCTGTTACAGCAGCCTGATTAAATCTTTTCTGTTATGTCCCAGATAGGTGAGTGCATCCCTTAACTGAGTTCCAAGTAAGCAAGATAGTGAAACTTTCATCACAAGAGATAGACGTGCATACACACACACACAGATTTTATTTTTTCACTGGTACTGACCTACCACACTTAAAGATTTCCACCCACACTAACAAATAATTTTACTTTTGGAGAAAGGAATTTTTAAATTTTTTTTAAGAAAGGAAATATTTTATATAACCATTTAGCGTTTGTTTACATTTTTCTTTTAAGAGGTTTTTTTCCATAATGAAATGTGGTTTTTGTTCACCCACGGCAAAAGCCTTTGCTACACATTTGCATAAACTTGTCACTAATAAATCTTTCTTTAGTAGGAACATAACAGAACAGGAGCATAACTCTGGAGGGGTTTTAATGTTCCTGAGCCTTGGTTTCTTCATGTATAAGATGCAGATCAGTAAAGATTAAATGAGGTCCTATGGGGGCACCTGGGTGGCTTAGTCGTTTAAGTGTCGGCCTTCAGCTCAGGTCATGAGCCCAGAGTCCTGAGGAGGGCTCTGTGCTCAGCGGGGAGTCTGCTGGAGAGTCTCTCCCTCTCCAGCTGCCTCTGCCCACTGCCCTTCCCCCACTATGGTCTCTCTCTCTCTCTCTCACTCACTCTCTCTCAAATAAATTAAAAAATCTTAAAAGATAAAATAAGATGAGGTCCTATGGTGTGGCAGGCTGTCTTAGTCCGTTTGGGCTGCTATAACAGAATACCATAGACTGGATAGCTTATAAACAACAAAAATTTATTTCCCACAGTTCTGGGGGCTGGGAAGCCCAAGGTCAAGGCCTCAGCACATTCAGGGTCTGGTGATGTTCTGCTTCCTGGGACACAGACGGCTGTCTTCACTGTGTCCTCACATGGTGGGAGGGGCGAGGAGCTCTCTGGGGTCTCTTTTATAAGGGCACTAATTCCAGTCTTGAGGCTCTGTCCTCATGACCCAACCCCTCCCAGAGGCCCCACCTCCTAACTCCATCACACAGGAGTTAGGATTCGCCATAAGAATTTGGGGGGGACATAGGCATTCAGTCCACAGCACAAGCTCAGCACAGTAAAGACATGTAAGATGGGTACTATTTGAACATAAATTCAACTGAAATTCAAGTGGAATGATACCAATAACCATGTATTTATGCTATAGCTTAAGAAAATTGTTCTTGGTCATCCCCTCATCTACCAGAAGGAATTAAAACCAGCCTGTTAAGTTGGCCTGACAGGATCACTGAATGTCTGGGCTGGGAATCCACTATATTCTCTCAGTTCCACCCTCTCATTTAACACGTGGGGAAACAGGTGCAGGGAGTTTGTGAAACTCACCCAGAGATAGAGAACGGAGATGCTGCATGTCTGCGTAGCCTCGTTACTGAGAAATCTTTCTTTAGTAAGAAAAGGTTGCACTGAGCCAAGTGAAGGACCAGGGTTCTTTTCATTAACATGAACATCTTTTCATTTATGTGGTCCTTCATAATTTGCAAAGCACCCCCTCAGCCCCGTGACCTAGTTTATTACACTACATCCACGAACTTATGAAGATGGCCCTTTTTCCCCTTTTCTTTGGGAGAGTTTTTGCATTCTCAGACTTGTGCTGCAGCAGCTGAATCTATGCGGATGCTTCACTTAAAAAAAAAAAACACACACACACAATGAAATGAAATGTGTGCATATGTCCCTATATACGTCTCTGGAAGAAACATCACGTCTCTGTGAGTCTCGTGCAGTTCACAGCCTGGCAGACACGAATGCAGACAGAGAATGATCTTTGGTTTGAGAATTCCTGAATGTCACTGACACTTCCATAATAAAGGGCTTAGGAATGTGGACATTTTCAAGAGGCGTGGCAACATTTATAGGCAACTCTTTAATGAGTCTTATTTGGGGACAGAAAGGGGAGGTCGGCCAGCCCTCTTCATGTGGTTTTAGGCAGTTAAGTCCTTCAAAGGACAAAGAGTGAAATCAAGTCATTTCTCCTCCTGAATTTTTCCTTCTTATTTTCCTTTGTTGTAAGGTTACATATAAATGTATGAGTATAGGGACATTATAAAAGAGAAGGGATATCCTGTGAGGGAGGAAATCAAGACAATAAATCCAAAAACACTACGGAAATTACAAATCCGAACTTGGGGGAGGGTGGGAGGCAACATGCTCTTTCACAGAGCTCTTCCTTACACGCCATGCAACTGTCCTCCAAAGTGGGAATGGAACAGACCAGACACACAGCTGCAGGACGGAGCTGGGGTCTGGGCTTTAGAGCTGTTCATGTCTTTGGGATTGGGCTGGGCATCAAGCGCCTTTTCCGGAATAGGCCAGAGAAGATAAGTCCAGTTTGGTTTTTAAGGTTTTAGTCAGCTCCATGGCCAGCAGCTCGTGGAGGGACATGCCGTCGTGCGCGTACACCCAGTTCTTCCCTGTCCAGTCGTAGCGCTTGGGCCCGCTGCAAGACAAAATAAATACGCAGGAAGTCCACGAGGACAGCCCTTGAGGACAGGTAGTAAATGCTGACTCCACAATGCCACCACCAAGAAACTGACCGGAAGAGAGGTCCAGAAAGTCAATTTAACAAGACGTCCATTTGACTTCTTGTCTCAGGTCTTTCTATGTAAGAACAAGTACCCAGTTTATCCCCTGCAACAATCTGACAGAACAATTCTCAAGACCTGAAAACATCTGAACCCTCTCGATGAGTCTCTGTAAAGCACATTCTGAGCTTTCACTTTCCCGAACTCACAGAGGGTACCTGCTATGTCAGAGCAGGGTTGTTAAAATGATGGCCATTCGTGTACTACTCACATGATTTGTCCCTTACCTATATTATTATTACTATTTTAGTACATTCATAACAAGTGCAACCACTACCTCTCTCTACCAAAACACTTCATCACCCCAAAAGGGAACTCTGTGCCCATTGAGCAGTTAGTCTCCACCCTCTCCTCTCCCCGGCTCCTGGCAATCACCCATACTATTTTTTTTTTCTTAATATAATTTTTTTTTTAAAGATTTTATTTATTTATTTGAGACAGAGAATGAGAGACAGAGAGCATGAGAGGGAGGAGGGTCAGAGGGAGAAGCAGACTCCCTGCCGAGCAGGGAGCCCGATGCGGAACTCGATCCCGGGACTCTAGGATCATGACCTGAGCTGAAGGCAGTCGCTTAACCAACTGAGCCACCCAGGCGCCCCTCTTAATATAATTTTTCTTGGGACGTCTGGCTGGCTCAGTTGGTTAAGCGTCTGCCTTTGGCTCAGGTCATGATCTCAGGGTCATGGGATCGAGTCCCAGGTCGGGCTCCTTGCTCAGCGGGAAGCCTGCTTCTCCCTCTGCCTGCTACTTCCCCTGCTTGTGCTCTCTCTCTGACAAGTAAATAAATAAAATCTTTAAAAAGAAAAAGCAATGCAGTCCTATGAAAGATTATTTTGGATGTGAGAAGTTGAGTGGAAAATAAATTTTTTTCTTGAGGAACACAGTATCTGTGATAGTAAATGGCTGCTTAGCAGATTTTCTTTCCAGATTCCCATCATGAATTACAGACTGAACAAGCCTGGGGTAGGATCATATTGCTGGTAGGGGTGTCCAAACACGATACGGACTTTTTTGGTCTCCAGATATGACAGGGAATTCCTTCAGTGGAACCATGATAGATGGTTCTGGTGCCCTGCCTGATATTTATACAGCCACCAATCCCCAAAGGTGATGGCTGGGTTTGAACTGATCCATGCAGTTTCTCATATGGTTCCTCCAGAGGTAAAGGATAAGAATGTACAGTCCTCATGCATGGCTCTGGTTAGGGATGGGACAACTGTTTGAGGCCAAAGAGAACAGGCTAATTGGCCCGCATAGGATAAAACACCCAAGTTCAAATTAATTGGGTCTAAAAAAGCAATGCAATCTATAAGGGTCTTGCTAGAAATGGGTGATTTCTGGAGTTGTTTGTTGAATTATAACATACTTCCTAGATGAAGTTGGGGCAAAGGAAGCATAACGCTTTACTTATTTTGAACAAATAATTACACACCATGGCATGATAAACAGTAAAATATTAACTGCCTAAAAATGATGTGAACATTGGGGCAGAAGAAGAGTTATAATTTATGTTTTTTAGATTTATTTATTTATTTGAGAGAGAGCGTGCGCATCAGGGGTGGGGCAGAGGGAGGAGAGAAAAAAATCTCAAGCAGACTCCCTGCTGAGTGCAGAGAGGACTCCGGGCTCGATCTCACTATGGAGATCATGACCTGAGCCCAAATCAAGAGTTGGATGGTTAACTGACTGAGCCACCCAGGCGCCCCTATAATTTTTTTTTTTTTTAAAGATTTTATTTATTTGACAGAGAGAGACACAGCGAGAGAGGGAACACAAGCAGGGGGAGTGGGAGAGGGAGAAGCAGGCTTCCCGCTGAGCAGGGAGCCCGATGTGGGACTCGATCCCAGGACCCCGGGATCATGACCCGAGCCAAAGGCAGACGCCTAACGACTGAGCCACCCAGGCGCCCCTAATTTTTTTTTTTTAATGTAAATACCATTGGGCTTTCAAAGAACTGCATGCTGGTTATATTTGGGCCTTTCCCAATGCACAGTCAGTATGTTGTCTTTGGAAGTAACGAGTGACCCAGGAAGGCTGGTCTGAGAGCTTTTTGTGAGTGTCTCTCTAAAACTCCCTTATAATGACCCCAACAGATGCAGGCCGATGAGGGGCCCTCTCTCCCTGCACGTTCTCAGGCCTTGAGATGCAGCGCAGGCGGCCTCCAACAAATCATTTATTCCACAAGACTGAAAGCACATCAGTGATCAACACAGGAGGGATTCAATGCCCTGGAGTCCCAGCTTAAGAGGCTCTCCCCCCTCCACAGGGCAGGCAGCCCAATTTCACAGAGGGAATTCAACCAACCTTTAGCGGGATGCTCAAAACAAACTAGAGGCCAAACTTTAACCTGCTTTGAAGACAAAGTGCAACTCGTTCTGAGGCTGCAACATCAAAAGTGGCTTTTTAAAAGGCAGGGCAGTGATTTCATAGAGAGAAACTGTCCAGGCCAGGTTCTGAAAAGTTATAAACTTTTTGCTTCCGATCTACATCCCAGTATCTGCCTGCAGCAGCCGGATTACTGGTAGACCGAAGTTCCTAAAGCAGGGTTAACTGTCCTACGAGGATGGGGTGAGTGTGAAGCATCAGGTGTGCTCACAGACAGCCACCCACGAGGTGACCTTCCTTGTAAAGGGTCCATAGCGCCACCCCTCCCATGAGCTGGACAAGGACAGATGGGGACTTCTGGACATACCTGGAGGGCGAAGATAACCAGATCTGCTTGTTTGGGGTCTGCTTGTTGATCACGTAGGTTCCTAGATCTCCACCCAGTTTAACTGTTAAAACACCACTCTGGCGGATCAGGTGGCAAAAGCACGAGGAAGAGAGAACAAGACAAAGTTATCACTTTGTCACAATTGCTAAATTGCTTCCTATCTCGACGTTGGTACACAAGACACACCGCGAAGAAGCGCCTTTCGTGTTAGACACGGCAGATCACGCAGAAAGCACACGGCTCTGAGTCAGACTATGACTAATCACGATAATACTTAGACCTCGTAGTGCTCTCCCTCACTCCCTGGGAGGCTGGCGAGGAGAGAACTCTCATTATTCCCGTCTCGAGGTGAAAAGACAGCAGTGGCTTGTCTGAGGAGTGAAAGCCGGCCAACGGGAGGCTGCGCATCCTGCCCGCTGCCGCAGTTCCCTCAAAGCCCAGCCAGAACGCACAAAAGGATGTGAAAAAACGCAGACCCCGACTCTGCCGGAGTCCCACGTCAGCCCAAACATCAGACAGGGCACGTTCATTACCAGAACAACGAAAAAAGGGCAAAGAGAAGGAAGCGGTCAAACCACCGGCTTTGCTGGTCTTAGAAGAGCCATAGAGCCAGCTCTGCTGGTAGAAGGCCCGCACTCCAGACAGGTTTTTTTGGGTTTTTTTGTTTTTAAATATATATATATTTTAAAGATTTTATTTATTTATTTGAGACAGAGAGAATGAGAGAGAGCAAGCACATGAGAGGGGGGAGGGTCAGAGGGAGAAGCAGACTCCCCGCTGAGCAGGGAGCCCGATGCGGGACTCGATCCCGGGACTCCAGGATCATGACCTGAGCTGAAGGCAGTCGCTTAACCAACTGAGCCACCCAGGCGCCCCTCCAGACAGGTTTTATCCTCAGACCCTTCCCACACATCTCACAAACTGCTCTCAAGGGCTTTATTTTCCCCTAAAGAGCCCTGAATTCTCTAAAAGCCTGGTTGGTCCACCTTTGCTCAATAAATGCTCATTTAAATTTGAAAACACTCTTTCAACAAAGGAGCCCTTTACTTCCAAGGTCTGAGGTTTCTTTAGCATGTGCAGAATATTATAGAAGCAACCACACAGCTCAGTCCCTTTAGTGGAGCTGGCGTGCAGGAGGCAGCCCCTCGCTGTTCCCCACCCCCGGCATAAGCCACGGAGACACACCACTGCCTTTCTCTGGGCTTCTAGAGCCCCTGTCCGATCAAGAGGCCCCGATGTTTCTTAGAACACTTTGTGTTTGGTTTGCAAACACAAACAGCTACTGAAAAGGTAAATGGCAGTGATAATAATAATACATAATAATAGTAATATAACTGACAGGCAAGAGAGAACTCTATTGGGTGATACTTTTAAAAAAAATTTTATTTATTTATTTGAGAGAAAGAAAAAGATCTTATCTATTCTTGAGACAGTGAGTGAGAGCGAGCACAAGCAGGGGGAGGAGTAGAGGCAGAGGGAGAAGCAGGCTCCCCACTGAGCAGGGAGCGCGATGTGGGGTTCCATCCCAGGACCCTGAGATCATGACCTGAGCTGAAGGCAGACGCTTAACTGACTGAGCCACCCAGGCGCCCCAGTAACATTTTTTTCTGATTAAAAAGAAAACAAAGAGGGGTGCCTCGGTGGCTCAGTCGTTGGGCGTCTGCCTTCAGCTCAGGTCATGGTCCCAGGGTCCTGGGATCGAGTCCCAAGTTGGGCTCCCTGCTCTGCGGGGAGCCTGCTTCTCCCTCTCCCTCTGCCTCTCCCCCTGCTTGTGCTCTCTCTCTCCCCTTCTCAAATAAATAAATAAATAAATAAAATCCTTAAAAGAAATCAATTTTTTTCCTTGAAATCCACCCTTACTATTTTGGTGGGACTGCCACCTTTCGTTTACTTAAAAGTGTCTTGAGGTGCCTGAGGGCACAGTGGGTTAAGCGTCCGACTCTATTTCAGCTCAGGTCATGATCTCAGGGTCGTGAGATCGAGCCACCGTGTCATCACGCTCTGTGCTAGGCATGGGGCCTGCTTAGGATTCTCTCTCTGCCTCCTTCCCTCTGCCCCTCCCCCTTCTTTTAATTTTTAAAAATTAAAGGGAGGGGAGAGAGTCAAAATCGTCAGCAGCTGCGGACAGGGGCACTAACCAGTCAGAACAGCCCCTGTCCACAGCGTGGTAGAGGCTTATTCCCGCCACTCAGTATCAGCCCTACACACTCGGGAGCAAAAGGAGCAATTTCTGTTGTCACTAGCTTGTTTTGTAGAAATAGACACCCATGGGATGGCATGTTGAGTCAGGCGAGTTCAGGTATATGTGGCTTCCCACACTCCAAAAAGAGATACCCCTCTTAAGGAGTAAGAATAATGAATGTGAAGCCCTTTTCCAATTTAATCCTAATGGAAATTCGGAGAAGTAGAGGGATGTCACCCACTTCTCAGCTGAAGAACCTGGCACTCACAGAAGTTAAGATAATTCACTTACAGACTCTTGGACAGAAAATACAAATCCAGGATAGGCTAGATGCTTTGTCTCCATATCCAATAAAATGCTTCCTCTGAGCAAGTGTCTGTAACCTGGGACCCAGAGGTGGTCTTCAGGGGTCTGCAGACTGTCCCGGCCTGAAGCTGAAATTGTACACACAGGTGTATGGGGAAGGTTTTCTTGGAAGAAGGTCCAGGAAAGGTTAAGGAACCTCTGCTTTATGGCACTGATATGCCGACAGCTTAGTGAGTAAAGAACATGACAGCAGATTCTCATCAAAAAGTCAAAGAGGCCAGGGCTCCACTGGGGGAAAAACGAAGGTAACCCCTCAGACAGCACAGTCCTTCTCCCGGTCCTGGTCAGATTTTGCCGGTCAAGTGCAGCCGACTCCATGGATCCTAGTGATGGGAGGTGCTTTCTGCTCTGGTGGGCAGTCCCCTCTAATGGCAGGGCCAGTGCGGGTGAGGCCTGGACCCAGACGCTGACCCCCCCAAGTTACCCACCCCACACGACAGCCAAGGAGCGCTCACAGAGCAAACAGAACAGACATGTTCTTGGGTCTATCTGGAATACTGCTGTCAGTTGTCTACTTGGTCAGGACCAAGCTGGTAAAACGTCTATGATGCTGAGTGGCATCAATGAGAGTGTGTGTGGGCCCCATTTCGTTTATGTACTGAATCAACATTTATTAAGTCCCTATCATGTATTTGGCAATGTTTCAGGCACTGGGATACCAAGAGTGGACAGTGTCCTGGCTGCCAAGGAACTCAGTCTCACCATGGGAGCTGATGTGTAAATCGACAGCTGGTACACGGGGTGATCAGTGCTCTACAGACTCATCCTTGGAGTGCTGGGCAAGGAAGTAAGCGTGCTATCTGCCTGGAGCATCTAGGAGGACTTCCCAGAGGAGGCAATGCCCAACTGGACCCTGGGGACAGGGAAAGACTGCACCCCAAGAAAGCTCAAGTAACAGTGTTACGGGTATTCTCTTGCCTATAATGTAGTTTCAATAGATTTGTGAAATGTGTAAGTTAGCGAGCACTTGAGAGACTCTTATTAGGAATTCACACCCCAGGGTAGATAGCATTTCAAAGTTCTTAATCAGAAGTCCCAACAACAGAGTCAGCTACTGTATGCCTTTAGTTTCTACATCTATACTAGAGCATTTCCTAAGTAGTAAATGATTTGTTAGAAATAATTTTTTCCTGGTGAGGAGAATGACCACTTAAGGTATATGGACTGGCTAGAAAAACAGAGGTGCCTCTCCCTTTGCAGGAATGGGTTACAGAATCTGGAAACCCCAGCAGCTGGGTCAGAGAGACACTCTGCAGGGAGGACTCCGGTAAGATCCTGTGACCCACCACTGAGCAAGAGCCTTTTTTCTTTTGAAGATTTATTTATTTATTAGAGAGAAAGAAAAAGAGAGAGAACGGGGGGAGGGGCATAGGGAGAGAGAGAATCCTCAAGCTGACTCTTCGCTGAGTGCGGAGCCCGATGCAGGGCTCAATCCCAGGACCCTGAGATCGTGACCTGAGCCGAAACCAAGAGTCAGCCACTCAACCAACTGAACCACCCAGGCGCCCCTGAGCAGGAGCATTTGCTGCTAGATTCCAGGGGGTAAACAGAATCCAGCTGCTAGAACACTGGTACATTTGCTTCTAATGAAACACTCATGCAAAAATACTTGAGTCCCTAAGTATTCTCACTAATGTTACAAGAATGAGTGGTGTGACTGTTTTTGTGGCATGTTAATGAATGTTTGTATGCATGGCCGAGTTTAGCTGGAGACTTGGTTTCCCTGTAAGTACAGCTAGCCCCTGGTGGGGAGGCTGGGGGAGAGGAGACCTGTAACTCCCCTGGCTCCACCATTCCACAGACAGTCAAGCTGTGGGGGCCAGTTAGTAAGGGTTCCCCAGCAGCTTGCCTTCTGAGGCTGTCTGCAGAAACACTTTGAATGCCCTGCCCCGAACGATGATGCTCACAGCAGTCCCCGAATCCACCTGGAAGGCATCCAACCCTTTCTGGCCCCGTTGCCTTACATTTGACCTCGAAGTCCCTCACTGTCCTTCCAACCAGGCTTGAAATCTTCCAGACTCTGCTACCTGCTCCATCTGATGGAGTCCCTTCTCTGTCCACAGTAATATCCAACAGCATTTCTATCACGTTAGCCTTGACAGCTGGTTGTCCTAATAATTCCACTTCATAACATTTCTGACTATTAATTAATTGCCGCCAAGAGGATTAATTTCCGTGGGGGATTTTCTGGCAAAAAAGCCGCAGCTCCCTAAGGCGTAAACAGCATTCTAAAGGCGAAGGTGGACCACTACTCAAGTCTGCCACCTGGTGGCCAGTTGATGTAGAGCAGCACTCCCTGGGCTTCAGGGCTCCGCGGCTCCCCCCAGTGCATTTAGGATCATCTGAGGAGTGATTACAAAAACTTAAAAAATTAACTCCCCTGTCCTGCCTGGGACATGCTCCCAGACGAACTAAAGAAAAATCTCTAGGGGTGGGACCCAGGGGGCACATTAGAATCCCAGGTGAGCTTTTCAAAAATATGTTTCCTGATAGTACACCCCGACCTGCTGATCAGAATCTCAGAATCTCCCAGAAGTGGGGCCCATGTCTGTGTGCTCTGAACACACCCTGCTTAAGGAGGAGTGGTTCAGGCCTCCCCATGCCGCCAGGAGAGTCATCCTGCTAGACAAACACAGGTCTGGGTCCCTCCCTGATTCACCTTCACGAGTACTGAGTGGTGCTTGAGAACCTATATTTTTAAGCAGAAATGGGGCTCACAAAGGCCATGACTTGCCCAAGGTCACAAGCCTGGTGGGGTAGGGCTGGAACACCAACGTGCCAGTCTTTGGGTCCCACCCGTAACCGCAAGCTGCTGGATGCTTAACTCCACTGGAGGGGAATTCTTTGCCTTAGTGAGCTAGAATTCTTAGGGAGGAAACAGAAAAAAATGAAAATAAGCAAAAAGGTACCCCAAATGAGACATCATAGTCTTCGAATGTGTAAGGCTTGTCTGCGAGGTCTTCGAAAAACTCTGCTAGGGAGTCCAGTGTCTTCTCCGCCAGTCTTTCATAGGTGGTCTCATCCAGAGAGCTGCAGGGGAAACATAAAAACCCCCAAAACACACGTTTACCAAACTGCTCCATTTCATTAACGTCAAACCCACACATCTATTTATTTACTTATTTAATTTATTTTTAGTAAATACACCCAATGTGGGGCTTGAACTCACGACCCAGAGATCAAGAGTCGCATGCTCCACAGACTGAGCCAACCAGGCCCCCCGACACATAGGTTTTTTACTTAAAAAATTCATGGGAAATAGCTACCATGTACAGAGAAAAAATTTAAGCAGCATGAAAGAGTTTATACAGGGGTGCCTGGGTGGCTCAGTCGGTTGAGCCTCTGCCTTCAGCTTAGGTCATGATCCTGAGGTCCTGGGATGGTCCGTTGGGCTCCCTGCTTAGTGGGGAGTCTGCTTCTCCCTCTCCCCCTGCTTATGCACACTCTCTCTGTCAAATAATAATAATAAATAAATAAATCTTAAAAAAAAAAGTTTGTAAAGAAACTTTCTTCCCAAATAAGCAGCCCCCATCCGCAGAGTCAACTACGAATAACAGTCTCTTCTATATCCATCCAGAATTTTATATTCTTTTTAATATAGAAATTGAAGCACCTTGCAGTTTTTATTTAACATATCCTGGAAATTGTTCCATATTAGCACATACGGATATTCCTGGTATTTTATTTTATAATATTTATTCAACCTGACCCCTTCAGCTGGACATTATGCTTATTAAAATTGCTTGTATTATGATTAAAATTATGTTGGGCAAAGCACAAAGTGGGAGAAAATACTTGCATTACATGTATCTGAAAAAGGGCTTATTTCCAGAATATATAAAGAACTAAAAAAAAACAAACAAAAAACTACAAGTCAAAAGAAAAAGAAAACCCAATAGAAAAAATGGGTAAAATACTTGAACAGATACCATTTTATTTTATTTTATTTTATTTATTTTATTTTTTTTTAAGATTTTATTTATTTATTTGAGAGAGAGAATGAGAGACAGAGAGCATGAGAGGGAGGAGGGTCAGAGGGAGAAGCAGACTCCCTGCTGAGCTGGGAGCCCGATGCAGGACTCGATCCTGGGACTCCAGGATCATGACCTGAGCCGAAGGCAGTCGCTTAACCAACTGAGCCACCCAGGCGCCCCGAACAGATACCATTTTAAAAAACATATCCAAATGGCCAGTGGACACATAACAAGGGGTATAGCTTTATTAATCTTCAGGAAAATACATTAAAAAATCACAATGAGATACCACCAGAATGGTTAAAATGAAAAAGACAGATGACATCAGGAGTTGGCCCAAAAGTGAAGCAACCCCTCTCCATTGGGTGTGTGTGTGTGTGTGTGTGTGCGTGCACGCTTGTACACGTGTGTATCACGGCCAGAGAAGCCGATCCTAGACCTCGAGAGAGGACGGCGTGTCACCTGGAAATCTTGGCCTTTGAAGTGGATGACAGACCTGATGAGAGGGCCTGTGGTGGCAGCCTTGGGGTTAGGGGCTAATGTGCTGTGTGTGCGTGTGGAAGGAGGGTCCATGGAGACATCAGACTGGCAACGCTGGGGAGCTCTGCACCAGAACCCACTGCTTCCTTCCAGGGCGCCCACCAGGCTCTATTTCCCAGCATCCCCTGGGGTCCGCTGGGGTCATGTGGCCCAGTCCCTCCCACTAAAATCTGAGTGAGGGACAAGTGCCTCTTCCAAGACGTCATGCTCTTGCCCCTTTCTGTGGAATGGAACCCGGGCAGGGTGACCTGGCTTCTACCGTGTAGAGGACAGTAAGGTACGGACAAGTGATAGGTGGAAGGACCCTGGGTGCCTGAATCCCTGCCCAGAGGCACGCCCACCCTGGACTGTTGGAACACAGGGACGCAAACCACTGCTGGCTTGAGCTATCACAGTTGGGGGCCTGTCTGTCACAGAGGCTTGGCCGACCCGAACTGCTAGGTCATCGAAGAGAGTAACAACAGAACTCTGGAAACGACCCAATGTCCAGCAGTAGGGAACGGGTTAAATGAACTGTGGTACATCCATCAAGTTTAATATTATTTTATTTAAAATAATGTGGCAGAGGGGCACCTGGGTGGCTCAGTCGGTGAAGCGTCCGACTCTTGATTTCAGCCCAGGGCTTGATCTCAGGGTCGTGAGTTCAAGCCCTGTGTTGGGTTCCACACTGGGGCAGAAGTCTACTTAAAAATAAATAAATAAATAAATAAAATAATGTGGTAGATAGTTGTTGATACGGAAAGATGCTTATGAGTGCTTCTGCTAAGGGAGAAGACAGGTTTTGGATGGGATGGGCTTTTTTCTTTTTTTAAACCGGTAAGAGAAAAGGAAAAAAAATTTTAAAAAGCTAATAGAAGTGACGCCTGGGTGGCTCAGTCGTTAAGCATCTGCCTTTGGCTCAGGACATGATCTCAGGGTCCTGGGATCAAGCCCTGCATCGGGCTCCCTGCTCTGCGGGAAGCCTGCTTCTCCCTCTCCCTGAAGCTTGTGCTCGCTCTCTCTCCCAAATAAATAAAATCTTTAAAAAACAAAAGCTAATAGAAGTGTGAGCAGGTATACACATGTTGTGTATTGAGAGAGAGAAGGAGGGAGGAGGGAGAAGGGCTCTCTGGCGTGGAACGGGCTTTATCTTACCCAGGGTCGCCCAAAGTTCCCGCTGTCCTCATATTCATCAAACAGACGCTCTGCTTTTTGACATTCACGATCTGATCGAGGCGGTGGAGGCTCAGACTCTAAAAGCCAAAGTGAAGAAGAACATTACCATTTCTCAGTGCATTACGGTCCCTGAACTCACGGTTTAAATAGCACCACTTCTTCATTCGGGAATAAACCACGTTAAATTTTTCCAGGGGTGTTTCTGGGATGTTTTCACCTCATTTTAATGCATTACCTTGTGTTCATTCTCTCGGGCTCTCTCTAAGCCTGTGCTGTCTGATATAATAGCCCCGAGCCACAGGCAGCTCTTTACATTTAAATTTATTGTCACTTCCCATCACTTCCCACTAAAATTTGAGTGAGGGACAAGCACCACTTCCAGGACTCCCATGTTCTGGAAGGCCAAGTTTCAAGTGTCCTGTGGCCTCATGTGGCCAGTGGCACATAGAACGGAGTCACCATCACGGGAAGCTCTATGGGGAGCACTGCTCCAGGCTATTCTGCGGTGTTTAGCACAGGCCAGGCGCGTGGAAGCATCAGCAAAGCTCCTGGAATTTGACTAATGCAAGCAACAATGAACAGCAAGAGGCAGATGTCTGCTGATGTCCAGAAGAGAGGATTGGACTGCAGATGGACAGGTTTCATTAACATGACCTGTGGGAGATAATGTGACCTGTTGATTTCCTCCAACACATAACTGGAAGAGGGTCCAGGCGCTCGTCTACTGGCCAGCTGGAGAGACAGATGACATGACCAGAGGACAGTGACAAACACCGAGGGGAGCCTGGCTGAGGGACCTGCCCCAGTGAGGGAGGGGACGGAGCCTGTAAAAGGAGAGAAAAGTGGTACATCAGAGTGGAGATGTCAGGGGAGAGGATGGAGAGGTGGCCATGGGGCCTTGTGAAGGCTCTCAGCTGGACTTCATCCTGGGAAGGCACCCAAGGGCTGGAAGGGGTTGGTAGTAAGATTCACCTTCTCCAAAGGTCACTCTGGAGCAGGGCTCAGAGGCCGCTGTTCTCTTGAGCCATCGGTGCCCTTGGCAGGCTCAGAAAGGAGAAGGCAGAGGCCACGGGGCTGAGAAATGAGCAGAAAAGGGGGAAACAGGGGTGCAGAGCACAGAGGGTGTGATTTTAAAAGGTTGGCTCCGAAAGAGAAGAGAGCCAGCATGATAACCAGTTATTGCTACTGCACATTCTAGAGTGTTCCCTATCTGCTGGGTGTTGCAGCTCTCAGTCTTGATAGAAATGGATGTGGTTAGTCCTCATTACAAGTCTGTGAAGCAAGTACTCTTATTATAGTGGTTCCTTATGACAGTTTGTTCTATAAAGTCACCACGAACAGGAGGTTAGTGAAATGCTCCTACGGGAAATACAGGCTTAGGTTCCTGCAGGCTTCAGGTCACATGTGACCAGCTGATCCATACATAACCTCGTTTACATGCGTTTCTGCTTAAAGACATCTTGTTTAATACACATTGCTGATACATGAACACTGAGCTCGGGGCCAACAGCACCATTACTGAGGCTGGAACGAGGCTGATCTAACACACGTGTTTTGTCCGTAAGGCCCTAAGCCTTCTCACACTTAGAATGCTAGACAGTACTCCAGCCCTATGCTCCAGGGCCATTTGAAACAGTAAAATCACCAACCAAAAACACAAAAATGCAAACAACGTGCCACTAACTAGATGGTGGAAAGGACACTTGACCCCGTGGGAGCCGAGAGAAGAAGACAGAGTGTCACCTTGTTTGACCTCGGTGGGAACACGCAAGCATGGGGCAACTCTAAGTTTTTGCTGCTGTGTGTGTGTCCCAGAGTGACCACGAAATCCACCCTGGGTATTGATTTGGGGGTTACAGATAAATTTTACTGAGTAGGTGAATTCACAAGTCCAGGATCCATGAAACATGAGGATAGGCTGTATTTGTATTCTATGGATGAGGAACCGAAGCAAATCACTCGATACGTGGAGGAGCAGAGATCTGAACCCACACCCTCTGGCCCCAGGGTCTGGGCCACAAAGGATAAGAATCACACACCTGGGAATCGTACAGGGTTTCAGACATGGAAGGGAAGTTCGAGAACTAGGGGCTCAGAGTTTCCCTCCCCTCCAGGATCCTGGCCTCTCAAATCCTAGTTGTCGTAGTCTGACACCTTCGCATAGCCTTTTTCCTGTTTCGTTTTTGGTTTTGACTTTTATATCTTGGAGGGCTGTTCTTGGTGGGAGGTTTGCGCTAATGCAAGTTACTCATAGCCAGAAGTAGAAGTCTACATCCGGCTGTTTTTAATCATCAAAGGAACTGCTGCCAAAGTTGCTGGTCTCTTACCTGTTCTCCCCCAAGCTAACGTTCCCTGGGTACCTGCTCACCCTTTCCGAGCCCCCGAAGGCAGGGGTCATGGTACCCGCCACGCAGACTGGTGATGAACATTAGACAGGAGGACACAAATACCCCAAACACAGGGCTGGAGGGTGTCCAGTCAATTTCAGTTTTGGAGCATGTCAACAATAGTGGAGAGGCGGAGGGTGAGGCCCGGCCTGGGTGGCTGGCAGGGAGGCCAGGCCTCACCCCAGGGGTCCCCTCCGCAAAGCACAAAGCTGCAGAGCCTGGAAGAGTGAGTCAGTTCTCACCCACCGCTGGCGGGGGATGGACGGGTACAACCATTCTTGGCATCAAATGAGTTGAATATTTGCTGGCCCCTCGCCTAGCAATGCCATTCTGAGGGATTCGGCCACAAAGAGCCTCTGTCCATGCACTGGAACGCCTACAGCAGCACCATCATGCCACCAGCACCATGGTGGTCACACAGATGTCACCAGGAGACTGGACAGAGTGTGATGGGCTCACCCAATGGGATACTACCCAGCAGAGAAAACGAAAAAATGACAACTGTGTGCATCAGTGTCGATGAGCCTCAAAAACAACACTGAGCACAAGGGACAAGTCACAGCACAATAAATACAGCAAAACTTTTTTCTATCAACAGCACACGCTTTAGGGAGACATACATGGGGGTGACACTCTAGGAAAAGGAGGGGATGCCCGACCGAATTCAGGAGAGCAGATTCCCCTCAGGGAGGCCCAGCGGTAATCGGGAGAGCACCAGAGCCCTCCAGGGGACAGGTCATATTCAGTCTCTCACTCTGGTGGTGAGGATGTGGCAGTGTGTCATTAGTGTTTAAACAGTACAGATTTTTTTTTTTAAGATGTATTTGTCAGAGAGAGAGAGCACAAGCAGGGGGAGCGGCAGGCAGAGGGAGCAGACTCCCCAATGAGCAGGGAGCCCAATGCGGGACTCGATCCCAGGACCCTGGGATCATGACCTGAGCCGAAGGCAGATGTTTAACCGACTGAGCCACCCAGGCGTCCCGTGAATTTGTTTTTTCAATTGCGAATTTTATAAAATAGAAATCAAGCATTTCCACAAGTTCAGTTTAACATCTGAGCTGACATGTGCTGATGGGGGAAATATACACTGGATTTGGAAGACTGTTAGATATCTCAATGATTTTTCAGTACTGATTACATGTTGAGATGATAATATTTTGAAAAACTAGATTACCGGGATGCCTGGGTGGTTCAGTCGGTTAAGCGTCTGCCTTCGGCTCAGGTCATCCCAGGGTCCTGGGATCGAGTCCCGCATTGGGCTCCCTGCTCAGTGGAGAGCCTGCTTCTCCCTCTCCCACTCCCCGGCTTGTGTTCCCTTTCTCGCTGTGTCTCTCTCTGTCAAATAAATAAACAAAATCTTAAAAAAAAGAAAAAAAGAAAAACTAGATTACCTAAATGTACTGTTGAATTTTTTTTTAAACTAAGCTCTAGGCCCAACATGGGGCTTGAACTCGTGACCCTGAGATCGCAAGTCACATGCTCTACCAACTGAGCCAGCCAGGCGCCCTCTGTGGTGTTGAAATTAATTTTACCTGCTTTTTACTTTTTCAATTTAGCTACTAGAAAATTTAGAATTACATATGCAGCTCCCATTCTATTTCTCTTGGATATTGCTGTAGAAGTAAGAATACACGGTAGAGAAAATAGGGTGGGGAAGAGGCCCCCACAATGAACTCAGGTCCTGATTGAGATCTGGAGTGCAGGGACCTTGGGGGTCAACCTGAGGACAGGTAAGGGCTTGAAAAAATTAAACATAGTGGTCCCAATTGCCATTGTCATCCACCCAGTTCCGCAAATACTGGAGATGTGTGAGGGAACTGTGTTACAAAGTTCAACAAACCTGATTAATTTACTATGGTAGAGGAGGCCCAATGGGTGACCCATGTTGTTAACTACGTCCAAACCTCCCAAGACCCCTAATCCCAGTGTGTGTCCAGTGCCCACCTCCTGGGTGGCAGCTCTAAGTTGGGCATGCTTCTGAGTCAACAGTCCTTAACAGCCACTAGGTACCATCCCAAAGACCATGCCCTATCTTGTCACTGTCCTAAATTACAAACTGCGGGCAACTCACGGCCCACACCAGCAGGGGTCAGAGTGCAAGCCAGGGCAGCTCCAGGTGGGAGAAGCACAGGAGAGGGGTAATAAGTGTCTCTGTCTCTGTTCTACACTGGGACATCATGGTGCCAGGACGGCCATAGCTGCCTATATTTCCCAAGAAGGGGGGGCCAGTATCAAGGTCCCAGCTTTGAGTGTTGGCAACCAATCCTAACTTCTCTTCAAACACGGCCAAATAACAGGGCGGTGGGAAGTTCAAGTCCAAAGTCCTACTTCCAGAGCTCCATAGGCAATTTGGGTTGGATTTTGTCTGCCTCCTTCCTCACGCACAGTCTGTCCAGCAGACCAGCCACTCAGTGTCCATATCCATCTGCCTTCCCAGCCCAGGCCTGTCTCTCCTTCGGGAATGCCCTTCCCTGCTCCCTTGTCACCTTCAAGACCCTGGTTAGGGGGGCCTGGGTGGCTCAGTCGGTTAACCCTCTGCCTTCAGTTCAGGTCATGATCCCAGGGTTCTGGGATGGAGCCCCATTACCGGCTCCCTGCTCAGCGGGGAGCGTGCTTCTCCCTCTGCTCCCCCACCTGTGCTCTCTTTTCTCAAATAAATAAATAAAATCGAAAGACCCTGATTAAACATCGCGTCCACCCCCGCTGTGAGTCTTCCTCAACCCCACAGCCATTCTTTGGGCTTCGTCCTTTGAGGTCTTGGAGCGAGAGGGTCAGATGCTTCTTTGCTGCCCCCAAGGGAAGAAAAGGGAATTAACTTCCAGGGCTCAAGACTTTCTGTTCCGTTAACCCAATGTAATCCTCACGACAGCTGGGCAAAATGGGCGGAACCCTTTCATCTCTTGACCGAAAAGGAAGCCATGCCTCGGGGAGGTTCCAGGTCCCCCGAGGTCACACAGCTCTGCTGAATCGAGCCGGAACTTGGGAGCGCAGGCCGGGTCATTTTCCAAAAGCCTCGCTTCTCTAGCTCTTGTGCTCCACAGCCTGGACGTTTCCATCTCGCTCGAAGGGAGCGTTTCGTTCATAACAGCCCATGCTTGGAAACATCGCTCTAGTATTATATGTACGCACTACGCCAGACTATTATGTTGGTCTGTGTATCGCTTTGTTCTATTTATATATATTTATGTACCACACTAATATTATCCGTCATGGACATATATATGTTCGTTACAGTACCTTGTACAGTATATAGCATCGCTTAGGTGGAAGTTCTGGCAAAGGGACGTGGCGGGCTCGGCGCCATCCACGGACCCCCGAGAGCGGGTCCCCGGCCACTTGCCCTGCGTTGCGTTCCCCCCGCAGTCGCAGTGCATTGCCCTTGTCACCGGAAAGCAGAGGCCGGTGCAAACGTGACCGCGGCAAACAGAAGGCGGACTGCGCGGCCGCGCGCCCGGCAGGGAGCAGCGCGCACCACTGCCGCGCTCCACCGCCACGCGGCCACCGGCAGAGCGCGGCCCCGCCGGAGCGGAGTGGGCGCGCGTGCCCGCGGCGGAGTGGGCGCGCGTGCCCGCGGCGTCCCCAGCGGGCGCGGCCTCCCTCCGCCGGCGTGCGGCCCGGACGGTTGCGCGGCGGCGGTACTCACGGCGGGGCTGGGTACGCGGGTCGCTCCGGTTCCGACGCGCAGCCCCCGGCTGCCGTAGAGCGGGGCGCCCCTCGTCGGGCCCCGGGCTCCGGCGCCTGCCGGGGCAGAGCCCGGGGGCGCCGAGCGGGGCAGGAGGCCGGCAGACGCGCGGCGCCCGAGCGTCCACATGCTGCTCCCAGTATGCGGCCGCTCCGCCCTCCCGCTGCGGGGACGCCGCGGCGACACCTGGTGGCCACTGGTGGCAGGCGTCGCGGTTCGGCTCCCCGCTCAGGTCCCCTCTTCTGTCGGCTCTGGGAAATGGCCCGAGGTTAGACCTCAGGGAGAACTTCCCAGCATTCCACTATGTCTGTATTTAACACAAATGGAGGGTGCGCTTCGTGCAAAGCGCAGGGCTTGCCCCTCGGGCAACTTGTGAATGCGTAACCAAGGTCCCGGACCTCGGAGACTTCGGCCTAGTGACGCACGGCTGCAGAATTCTGTCTAGGAAGGACCTGCGAGCTGCCGGCTTGCTGTGAACTGGATGCGGTGCAGGTCTTGAAGCTGCTTGGCTGTAGTAGGTTACAGCAGTTAGGAGCGTGCGGACGGGAGAGGGGTTGCCTGGTTTACATCCGAACTCTACCTCCTAGCCGTGTGACCAGTGGGCAAGTTAATTCGCTTCTCTGTGCCGCATCTGTAAAATGGAGTTTATAAAAATTTCTTCTTCTTAGGGTTGTTTTAAGGCAACTTAGTAGGTGTACTTATTTTGTCTTGAATAAGCTGGTTTCATACAAGGCAAATCCATCTTTTTTTTTTTTAATTTAATTAACCAACATGTAATGCATCATTAGTTTTTGATGTCATGTTCAGTGATTCATTAGTTGCGTATTGCACCCAGTGCTTATCACATCACGTGCCCTCCTTAATGCCCATCACCCAGTTACCCCATCCTCCCACCGACCTCCCCAAATCAGCCTTTTTTAAAGATTTTTTTTTTTTTTTAAGATTTTATTTGACAGACACAGCGAGAGAGGGAACACAAGCAGGGGTAAAGTTTTTTTTTAAGTAATCTGTGTACCCAATGTGGGGCTTGAACCTACACCCCTGAGATCAAGAGTGGCATGCTCCACCAGCAGAACTGGCCAGGCACCCCTGAAATCAATCTTTTTTATTTTTATTTTATTTTTTAAAGATTTTATTTATTTGCAAACGAGGGGGGTGGGTCAGAGGGAGAGGAAGCAGCAGACTTTCCGCTGAACAAGGGAGCCTGATGTGGGACTCGATCCCAGGACCCTGAGATCATGACCTAAGGCAAAGGCAGAGGCTTAACCGACTGAGCCACCCACACGCCCCCAAATTGATCTTTCTTATGTATGTATTATATAATATATTACATGATGTAATAGAAATATAAATTATATATAATTATATGATCAATCTAAAAAAGATTATTATATAATATATAAACAGCATTATAAAATTGGTATATAATTATTAATTAGCATTAACTATATAATCAATATGATATAATTATACATAAATATATGTATTTCTCAGAGAAAGAGATCTGACCTGACTCATCGTGTACCCTCTCCATGTTCCCCATACTTTTGTTACACTTCCTAGTCCTTCACCTCGCTGTGCCCTGCTGTGCCTTAGGCCTTTGCTCTTGCTGTTCTTCTGAAACACTCTTCCTCCAGCTGATCACAGGGGGGCCCTTCTCATCCGCAGGCCTGTCTGCATGTGCCCTCCCTAAAGAGCCCTTCTCTGACCACTGTACCTAAAGGAGACTTCTCCCTCCATCCGGTTTCCCTCCAGCACTTCCGTCCATTGATTTCCTCCACAGTGATGAAGGATGGGGAAGGCAGGCAGGCCAGCAGGGACAAGCCCCCCCGCCCCCGCCAAGAGGAAACCATCCTTAAAATGATTTATTTTATTTTTAAAATTTTTTATTTTTAAAAGATTTTTATTTATTTATTTGACAGAGAGAGAGATAGCGAGAGCAGGAACACAAGCAGGGGGAGTGGGAGAGGGAGAAGCAGGCTTCCTGCCAAGCAGGGAGCCTGATGTGGGACTCGATCCCAGGACCCTGGGATCATGACCTGAGCCGAAGGCAGACGCTTAACGACTGAGCCACCCAGGCGCCCATCCTTAAAAAGATTTTACACTACAATGGAAGGAGCCCTCTACCCTTTCCCACGTGATAGATAGGTGAAAAAAACCTGATTGGATGACAGGCACAGAGAGGGTTAATCAGATTAAAACAGCCCATAAAACCCCCTAGACTTAGAAACTCTGGTGGCAACCCTCTCGGGTCCCCTCCCTCCTGGGTACCTTGTACTATCACTTTGCTAGCATTCAGTAAACCTCGTTTTGCTGCCCACCACTCTGTCTGGTCTACCTCTTCATTCTTCCAATATGCATGACCAAGGAACGGGGCGGGGGGGGGGGGGGCGGGCACCAACAAAGGAAAAATCCTGTAACAATAGCATGTTTCCCAAATGGCAAATACATTGTTTGCGTTTTACCTGCTAAACTGAAAGTCTGCTTTACTAGACTATAGGCTCCTATAGGCCCCGTGTCTGTTCTGTTCACCACTGTGTCCCTAGTGCTAGGCATGGAGCTGGGCATGGTGCAGGGTAAGTAAGGTGCTCAGTAACTGTTGGCCAGTTGAAGGAATGGATGAATAACCCTGCTCTGACCTGCCAGATAAGCTTTACCTATAGAATAGGCATAAGAGGAGTACTCACCCCGTAGTGTGGCGTGAATTAAATGAAAGAGTGTACAAACTTTTTGGTAATGGTACCTGGGTCATATTAAGATCTCAACAGTTACTGTTCCCTTTCTCTGTCACTGAGTCTTAGGCTCAACACTGACCCACTGGAGGCAACCTTGGGCTAGTGATTGAACCCCTTGGGCCGACAGAGTTTATTCCATCAAGTCATCTCGGGACACCTGGGTGGCTCAGTCAGCTACGCATCTGCCTTTGGCCCAGGTCATGATCCCAGGGTCGTGGGACCGAGTCCCGCATCGGGCTCCTTGCTCAGCAGGGAGCCTGCTTCTCCCTCTCCCTGCCATTCTCCCTGCTTGTGCTCTCTCTCTGTCAAATAAATAAATAAAATCTTAAAAAAAAAAAAAAAGGAATTTATCCATCAAGTTATCTGTTGAGTGCCTGCACACGGTTCTAATGCTGTTGATACGGCTATGAATAAAAACTCCTCACTCTCTTGGAACTTACATTCTAAGATCTCCAACGGCCCAGATATTTTCTCTTAGATTCTGCATCACGTAGCAGCTGGAATGATCTGTGGCTGAGTTTCGAGCAGATGAGGAACGAGAATGGCCTAGCCTAATGACTTAGGAGGGCAGGGGGCTGTCCTCGGCTTAATTTCATCCAGTTCCAGCAGGTTTCTAAAATCATTCGGCGGATCTCCTTGACCTGTGCATGTTGGAGAGTTTGCTCGATAAGGCACAACAAGTGATGGTGTGACTGCAGCTCTTCAGTCTGAGAGCCCGTCAGCACCTGAGGAGGTAGAGGACTGCCAAAGGAACCCAGGCCTCCTGCCTTCCCGGGCCGTCCTCTTGATCTACAGGCGCGGAAACGGCAGTTTCCCTTTTTTCGGGAACCTCAGTCCCAGGAAGGGCTCTGATTGGCTCTGCTGGGATCATAGGCCCGCCCCTTGGAGCAATCCGTGTTGCTAAGGGGATGGGGTAAGCTGATTGGTCAGGCCAGGGGGCCTGGGAATAGTAGCCGACCAAGCGGGTGGGAGGGTTTGCCCGGGAGCTAAGAAACGAGTGTTACCCGGTAATTCCACATTAGATGCTAAAAACTTAAGTCTCCAACTTCTCACGCATCCTTGCCTGGCCTTGGGCTTCAGCTCCGTGCTCTGACTCAGAGCCTAACACTTTATTTACCGCCAGGAGGTGACTTCAGCTCTGGGGAAATGCAAGTCCGTTGCATGTCCTTGGATTGATTGATGATTTCTCAGGATGCTCCTCTCTGACAGTTGCCAAGGGCAAATTTTTCTCTGATGAGGGATGAGAAATAGCAGTATGTCCCGGGAGACTGATTATGGGACCAGAATCTGAATCCAAGCCCTGGCATGCCATTTGATACACGACTTTTGAGCTTAAAAGAGATTAAGTTCATAAGATAGTTAACAAATGAATTGATCAATCATTCCAAAATGTTTTTGACAATAAATGTGAAACCTGTAAATTATTTAAATACTGTGCTAATTATTGAAACTTTCAGTAGCCAGAAAAAAAGGAGGTTTGGATTTATATGCTGAGAAAGGCTCCCTGCAGGGTCCCTTGGGGCCAAGTGTGATTGTGTTTGATCCCTGAGCTGACAGATGAAGAAAGCCTCTGGCAGGGGCTTCTCACTGTACCAAAAAAACTCTTAATGGAGACTGAGAGGAGAAGAGGAGAGAAGCATGTGATGTATCTGAAGTATCACTTTAGAGGGTCATTCTTGTTGAATTCGTGTTAATATGCGAATAGCCTTAAGGAAGCAGTTTGATGCAGTAGGAACCTGTAGATTTGGGGGACTGAGATGTATTGCAAGGCAAAGACATTAACATAATTAAACATAATTCTCCTATAATATATATACTGAGCATGTGTCAAAGATTAATTAATTAGAGAGGCGTTATGGATGGAATTGTGTTCTTCCAAAATTCATATGCTGCCATCCTAACTTCTAGTACTTCAGAATGTGGCTGTGTTTGGAGAAAGAGCTTTTCAAGGCGCCCCTGGTGTGGCATTTTTTAATGGTCACCCTAGAGAATTAGGCAGCCAGCAGGAAGGCACAGCTGGTTTAAAGAGGGTGGAAGATTATCTGGAGTAAGAGTACTAAGTCAGACACACAATTAGTGTCCTGGTACCTACAACTCCAGCCTCTGGGTTACCTTCCTACACAAGAATCATTTGCATCTTACGAGTTTTCTACAAGGTTACATTTTTGAGATCTAATTTAATAGCAGATAATAAGTCAAATGTAGTCGCTGTCCTAGAGCAGGTTTCTCGACAGCGACACTACTGACATTTCGGACGGGACAGTTCTTTGTCGTGGGGGCTGTCCTGTGCATTCGGTGTTCCGCGGCATCTCTGGCCTCTGCCCACTAGATGGCGGAGCATCAGCTCCCCCATCCAGTTGTGACAAAAATGCTTCCAGACTTTACCCAAGTCCCTAGAGGGAGGCAAAATTATCCCCCATTGA